AGGGGTCCACTAACAATCTGATTTTCCCAGGCCACCTGCAAATTGAATTCCCCAATATGACTGTAATAGTGCCTTTCTCGCATGCCTTTTCTATCTCTGGACTTATTTTCTTCCCCATACACTGACTACTGCTAAACACTCGAGTGAACCAGTCTCCCTCACTCTCAGACAGTGTGTTCCACACAGGGAACTTGGTGCTCAGCCAACTGCTGTTTGAGAATTAGCCGGAAGAGGATTGGCAGTAAAAGCTGCATCAGTGTTATTGTTAAAGGGTCTCTGCTTTATAATCAGTGAAGGAGTTGAAAAGAACATCATCAATGTGACACCATGACTCATCACTTCCTGGAGCCGTGTGTGCGAGCGTGCGTGTGTGTGAGCGCACATGTTTGTGTGCGAGTGTGTGTGTGTGAGAGAGAGCGCGCACGTGTATGTGTGTGAGAGAGAGCGCGCACATGTGTGTGTGCGTGTGAGAGAGAGAGATTGCGTGTGCGTGTGAGAGAGAGATTGCGTGTGTGTGTGTGTGTGTGTGCGTGAGGGTGCATGCATGTGTGACAATGTGTCATTCCTGTTATAAGCTGTCGTCTCTCTCTTTTTTATTTCAGACCGTGATTTAAAAACAGATGGGTTCAGCCTGGATTCCTGCCGTGGAATGGTTAATCTCCTAGATGTATCCTTCACCTAGACATGAGATGGTAGACCCCATTCCCTGATCTGATCCTGAGAGACGATACCCTTGTCACATCAGGGCATTGTCCAGCCCAGCACAAGAGTTCACTGGTGCCTCGTCTCCTCTCTGTGAGCCTGCCTACAGTCTCAGTCTCCACTGCAGCTGTCGTTCTCAGTTGATTTGAGATGGGTGAGCGATTGGTAACTGTGGCTTCAGGTTAGACATGGACAAGGAAACCTCCTGCTGATTACCACATGCCGTCCTCCCTCAGCTAATGAATCAGTCTCTCCTGTTGAAAGACACTTAGAGGATGCACTGAGGATGGCAAAGGCACAAAATGTACTCTGGGTGGGGGATTTCAATGTCCATCACCAAGACTGGCTCGGCAGCAGTACTACTGATCGAGCTGGTCGGGTCCTAAAGGACACAGCTGCTAGACTGGATCTGCGGCAGGCGGTGAGGGAACCAACAAGAGGGAAAAGCATAAAAACCGAAAGAGCTGCGGATGCTGTAAATCAGGAACAAAAACAGAAGTTGCTGGAAAAGCTCAGCAGGTCTGGCAGCATCTGTGGAGAAAAAATCAGAGTTAATGTTTCGGGTCCGGTGACCCTTCCTCAGAACTGATGCTGGCTGGGAAAATGGTTTATATGCAGAAAATAGGGAGGTGGGTGGGGTAGGGACTAAACGATAGGATAGAGCCCGAAGAGAGAGAAAGACAGTTGGACAGACAAAGGAGTTGCTAACGATCAGGCTGGGAGGGTGAATAGTTGGTGAATAATGGGGACTGTTAGTGACTAACAACAGGGGGTGTGTAGTGGCAGGCTATGTGGTAACAAGGCCTGGTGTGTGGCGTGGGGTGCTGGGACATGGGAGAGTTTAGGCCCTAAAATTATTGAACTCAGTATTGAGTCCGGAGGGCTGTAGGGTCCCCAAGCAGAAAATGAGGCGTTGTTCCTCCAGCTTGTGCTGAGCTTCGCTGGAACACTGCAGCAAGCCGGAGACAGAGATGTTGGCCAGGGAGCAGGGTGGTGTGTTAAAGTGGCAGGCAACAGGTAGCTCAGGGTGTTTTTTGCGAGCAGAACGGAGATGTTCTGTGAAGCAGTCACCCAGTCTACACTTTGTTTCCTCAATGTAAAGGAGACCACATTGTTGAACCCTGAGAGTAGCCATGATGGGATCAGATGGTGGAGTAGATTTGATGGGCCGAATGGTCTGATCCTGTTTGCAGTGTTTATCCTTTAACCAACTTTCCACAGAAAGATGGTAGTGGGCGCCTCGGTGTGGTGGAATTTCAGATCATGTGGAATAAGATTCGCAAGTGGCTGGTAAGAGATGGGATCTGGTGGATCACATAATAGATCTGTTTGATCTTCACCCTTTCTTGCTCCCTCTCTCTCTCCCTCTCTATCTGCCTTTCCTGGTCTCTGTGTCACTCTGTCTCTCCCTCTCTCTCTTTCTCTGTTTCTATATCTTCATGTCTCTCTTTCTCCCTCACTTTTCACTATCTCTCCCTCTGTCTCTCTTTTCTCCCCATTTCTCACTCTCTCCCCCTCTCTCCTTCTCTCATCCACCCTCCATCTCTGTCTTCTTCCCCCTCTCTCTCAGTCTT